GATATACAAGAAATCACTCTCCTCCCTTTCTGTAGGCATATTCATTAGGTACATTTTAGTTCTCTTTTTGAGCTGCCTCAAGCTATGACAGGCTACGACATGTGCACGTAGTCTGTTCCACTCCTTTATTGCTGTACAATAAAATGTGATTGAGGCCTGACCATTGACTGTAGGTACTGTAATGCTGTTCTCCCTTCCCCTAGTACTGTAACTGCTTTTGGTTCCCGGTCTTAACAAAATTGGTAGCAAGATATTTTGGACACTGGTTGTGAACAATTTTATAAAATTAAACTTTAGTTGTTTTACTCTGTCTTCAACATTCAATATGTACAGTTGTAGTAATTCATTCTGGCCTACATGCTCTCTTGAACCCAAGTCCAGAATGAATCTCACCATTTTGTTTTAGGAGATTTGTAGCTTATCTTTCAGTTTTTTTTTTGTTAAGGCAGAGTACCTTGTGTAAGAGCTCGAGTCCTGAGAGCTTCACTTGGTAGACACTGTGCCTGTCTGTAGAGGAACGTAGTCTGGGATTCGCTTTCTTTACTACACTCTTCCCTATTAGTTCTCCTGACATGCTTAGGTCAAAGGGGATTCCTAGATATTTCACTGAATTTACTGAAATAATAGGTTCCCCATTACACTGGACATTAAAATTATTTACCCTTTTCATTTTATGTTTCGTGCCAAAGAGTATGGCTTCCGTTTTTTCCTACTGATGCGGTTACTGCTGATGCTGCTGCCTATTTTTTTTTTTTTTTTTTGCTGCTGTTGGTAATGAAGGATTGGCAGGGACGCATATTGCCCCCCACTAATGGCAATGATTCCCGTACTTGTCGACTAATTGCCATTTTTTCTACCTTATTAAAAAATTTTCGTCCACGTTGAATAGAAGAAAAGAGTTGGCAAATAGATAGGCAAACCCAAAAGTGTCCTGTGATTTGAGCTAGATTGTTAAGGCAACCCGGAAGACTTCTATTTGTGAAGTGAAGCTTGTGTCAGAGTATTGCCTTTGGACATTTTTTTTGTTCAATTATTATTCATAGTAGTAGTAGTAGTATTAAACAGCAAATATAAGGATGTTGTTGGTTAGCCGTGATTATTTAATCTGTTATAAACTGTTTGTTTTTAGGGAACAATAGTTTTTCAAGCGCCTTGGAATTTTTTTGCAAGAAAATATGGACTCGAGAGTTAATCTTTTCATAACTGCTAAATTCTCTACCAATCATTCGTGCTGGGATGAAGATGTTCACTGATGTCTTATCACGGAGGCGCAAGATTTCAAGAGTCTCAAATGATAATTTAATTATATTGAAGACAAAACCTGAAAGAAGACGAGATAATAATCAGTTTTAAGAGCAACCTTTCAGATATTATCGAGTGAAGATGGCGACCAGGAAGGTGCAATAATAATAATAATAATAATAATAATAATAATAATAATAATAATAAATATATTATTAATAATTTATTATAATATGTGAAGTGTCTCAGTTTGTAAACACTGACAGGTTACTTGTCTAGGTGTATATAAACTGAGAAATGTGAATATAATACAAGAAAACAATAACCTCGAAGGAAATGACACTATAATAATGTTTGATCCAATGAATGGGAAGATAGCTTCAGTTCCTTAGATCAAGAGACTATGAGCAGCAGTAGCAACAACAGTAGCAGCAGTAAAGCAGCAGAAGAAACAGCAGTAACCAGAAAAAAACAGGAGTAATAACAGCATCAACAACAAAATCAGTTATCAGCAAAACAGCAGCAACAGCGACAATAACCACTTCTAAAACAGGAACAAAAGTAGCATCAGCAAACAGCAGAAGCAACAACAGAAACACGAACAGTAACAGGAGCAGCAGCAACAACAGTTAAAACAGCAGCAGCCTCAGCAACACAAATAACAGCAGCAGCAGCAGCAATAACAACATCAGTAGCAGTTACAATAACAAAAACAAGAGCGACTACAGAAAAAATAACAGCATTAACAATAGGAGCAGTTACAATACCAGAAAATTCAAACAGCAGCAGCAGTTACAATACAAGCAAAAAACAACATCTGCAGCAGTTACAATACCAGCAAGAACATCTGCAGTATTTACAATACCAGCAAAAACACCTGCAGCATTTATAATACCAGCAAAAACACCTGCATCAGTTACAATACCAGCATAAACAGCAGCGGCAGTTACAAAACCAGCAAAAACTACAGAAGCAGTGGTTACAATACCAGCAAAAACAGCAGGAGTGGTTACAACACCAACAAAAATAAAAGCACCAGGAGTCCAGTTACATACACCCAAAACAAGCATATTAGTTTATATATTGTTTGAATTCAACAAAATTGTCTTAATCAAATTTTAGCCCTGAAATATACTGATAGTTAATGCTTTGGCGCTTGTGAGAAAAAAAAGTTTTATGTGCATAATTGACCAAAAGGAAATATTTTTTCGAAGTGGCCAATAATCAGGTATTTTTATATTAGTTCCTCATAATAGAGACAAAAGTTTTTCTTTAGTTTCTTTCACAATTCTCTTTCTGATTCTCTGTAGGTTAACTTAATATATCTTTATTTTTACAAGTACATGTACAAGGTATACAAGCCTAGCTGACATCAGTGAAACACTACTACGTATAAAGCCACTTGTTATGCTGAGCATTTCGGGCAAATTAGGTCAATTTTGTCCCAGGAAGCAACCCAACCAGTCGACTAACTCCCAGGTACCCATTTTACTGATGGGTCAACATAGACAACCGGTGTAAAGAAACATGCCCAATGTCTTATCATGTGAAACGAGAGGTTTAGCCACCAGGTCACGGGGTATTTAAAAAAATGTTGGCTGTCATTAGATTTTCATATATAATGAATGTACACCTCTCCTTTCGTTTAGACTCTCCGGTACAATTATATGTAAAGTAAAATAGACAGTACAAAGGAAAACAGACAATATGAAGGAAAATAGATAGTACTATAATGAGACCGAGTTTTATTATCTAATTTTAAGTGACATGCTTCCTGAATCAAGAGGTTAAATGTATAATCTAGTTTAAAGCAGCAAAGCAAAATTTAGAAGAAAAAATGTAAATATTTCTACCGATTCGCCAACGGAGAATTAATACAACAAAGTAAAATATAGGTATCGAGGTATAACTAAGATTTTCACTGAAATCTGATTAAGCAGTGAGACGGATTGTTTAAAAGCAGTCACAGTTCGAAATGTGAATGACTGCAGAATATTCCTGTCATGTTACCTTTCTGTCCGGAGCTTCACTCAAAATATTTCTTTTCTGCTGGCTAGCTGTGCATTGTCATTGTCGGTGCACGTAGGAATTACACTACTCAGCATTGTCATGAGACCTTTCCTTGGTTGCAGGACCTCTGTTTATCCACCATAGGGTGCAATTGCTGTTCCAATAGCACTCTTTATTCAATGTAATGACTACTATTTCACCAACTTGTATCTATCTTGGAATGGCTATTTAGGGTGTCGTGTTTATTTAGATTCACATTATCTAAGAATTTAAGATGTGAGGGAGAACTCTGGGTTTTGTTAATTAACATGACATAGCAAGTTTTTAATATAAATAATGCATATGGAAGCATATATTCCCTAGTGTAATAAATCATTTTTAAGTAGTGTTAATGTAGGATGCTTCACTTTCCTTTAGTATTTATTAAGTACTCAGTTTACCCTTCGTTTATTTTATAATTAAATAAAAAATATCACAATATCGTTCCTGGAATAATTCAAATATCCCACACTTAAGAGATTGAAATTTATTACGACGTTTCAATACAGTTTGGACCATTAACTGAAGGAGACCAGATTGTATATGAGAGTGGGCGGGGGAAGGGAGTTGTAGAATGGTATAACCTCTGTCTGAATTTGAGGAAATGGAAGGAGGAAAGGGGCAAACTATTTTCAGCAAGACAGACACCAAGAAAGCTTAGCTGGTTATGATTCCTGGAGCAATAACAACCAGATTCAAAGCAACGAAATAGGGATTTATAAAAGCAAGAACAACAACAGAAGCTGGAAAGAATTAGATGCCTACCTGCAGACTCCGTAAAATATAAAGTCACAGTATCGTGGCTGAAATAACACGTATTTCGGAGACTGAATCTAATGACGACATTTCGGTCTAGCGTGGACCATTAGTCTCATTGAAGCTAGAAGGGACCGATGCCAGAATATATATGAGAGGGACGGGGAAAGTGAGTGGTACAAAGGGAGGTGGGAGTAATAGTAGTAGTGTTTGTGCAGGTAGTAGTAGCGTTTGTGCTGGTAGTAGTAGCAACAATAATACAAGTACAACTACGTAACACACAATAATAGTCTTCACTGTGGTAATTCTGAGGAGCACAAAAATACATAATCAGTCAATATATGTACTTCATTTCCTAGTGACACAATAGTACTCTTCACTGTGGTAATTCTGAGTAGCACAGTAATACTCTTTCTTAAAGTAATTCTGAATGGCATAGTTCACTACTCTCTATGGTTATTCTGGGTAACAATAATAGTAAGGAAAATGTGTGTGACGCAGTACAGTCTTACCTAAGGAAACTCTGAGCGACAGTTAAACTATTCACCTTGATAGCAATAACACAATAATTCATGTCAGTATGGTAACTCTGAGACGCATAACACTCGTAACTATACCACAATACGCTTTCACTATAGCCACTAACAATACACTATTTGCTATAATAACTTTAGTGACAAAATATACAATTTATTATAGTTACTCTGAGTAACACTACACTTTTTTTTCCCCACGAGCTCTGAATGACAGCAATACACATTATTGTATGGCACATTGTCTTCATAATATTAAATGAGTGACGTAGTACACTCTTCACTGTTGTAACTTTCTGTATTACCGTACATTCTCTACAGCAGTAACTCTAGTTAACACAGTGATAATATTTCACTATAGTTACTCTGTGGTTATATTAATTCTAAGTGACAGTAATAATACTATGATCTGTCTCTCAGAACCTGGAGATGCAGACAGAGCCTCCGCCCAGCACAGCCTTCACAATGAACGTGGGTCCTGCTCTCATTTACGACTCCTACCAGAAGAACTACCTCAAGATCCTGGAGCGGGAAAGAGAAAGAGAAAGAGAGAAGGAACGAGAGAGAGAAATGGAGAGGGAGAGAGAAAGAGAGAGAGCAAATGGCAAAGGAAAAAAGGTGCGTTGAACTGTTATGATAATGAATGTTCTGTTTGTGCCAAAATACTTACAAAACTGAAACTAGGGAATAACGAGAGTGGGTCAGTTACTCTCTGGTACGTTACCATTACATATGACCAGTGTGGGTCAGTTACTCTCTGGTACGTTACCATTACATATGACCAGTGTGAGTCAATTACTCTCTGGTACGTTACCAGTGCAGGTAAGAATATGGCCAGTGGGGGTCAATTGCTCCCGAGTGCGTTATCAGTACAGGTCAAGATATGATTAATGTGGGTCAATTACTTTCTGGTCAGAATATGACCTGTGTGGGTCACATACTCACTAGTGAGTTACCATTACAGGTAAAGATATGACTGCTGTGGGTCGCTTACTCTCCTAGGAGTTACTAATATAGGTAAAGGTATGGTTACCATGGGTTTCTCACTCTTGGGAGTTATTTATAAAGGTCAAGATAGCTACCAATACAGGTAAAGACATGACCAGTGTGGGTCGCTTACTCAAGAATGAGATATCAATGCAGGTTATATGATCAATGAAGGTCACAATCTCGCGGGACTTCTCAATATAAGTAACTTACTCTTGAGTAGGTCACTTAGAGCACCGTTATTATTTATTTTGACATCCTCAGCCTCTATAATGCAACAGCATTTTTTTTAACCCTTTCTTATATTCTCGTTCCTGTGGCAGCTCTATAATTCTCCACTGTTTTTCTTTCCATCGAATTGCTAGTTCATTATTATGCCATGGATTCTCTCAGTTCTTCAGTTCGTCAGCTTATTCAAGACCAACTCAGTGGCAGAGAGTTCGGATCACAGCCGAATGAACCTGGGCTCGATCGTAGTGAGAGCCAGAACGTATGGGCTTGTCTCCTTACACGTGCTGCACCTGTCCATTCATCAGTAAATACTTAAGCGCTCCGTAACATGTTCTTCATATACTTCTTGTAAGACACTGAATACGGTCGCCGGTATTCATTATTAATGCAGCGAGTTTAGTACGATTTTAGACAGCCTAGTCTTCTTTTGTTTGCTTCTAATCCCGTTTTCATGGGCAATGTTGAGAATCTTCCTCATTTGCACCAGATCGAGTAAACTCTACAAACTTTGATACACACTGACTTATCAGTTACACTCTGCTAGATCAGGTAACACTGTCAGGTCCGTCAGGTCGGGTACAGTATGCCAGGTTCGGAACAGTTTCTTTGGTCGTTTTCACTTTGTCAGAGCCGCTCTGCTAGGTCAGGTACTCTCTGCCATGTTGGGTACTCTGCCATGTTGGGTACACACCACCATGTTGGGTACACACCACCATGTTGAGTACACACCACCATGTTGGGTACACACCACCATGTTGGATACACACCACCATGTTGGGTACACACCACCATGTTGGGTACACACCACCATGTTGGATACACACCACCATGTTGGGTACACACCACCATGTTGGGTACACACCACCATGTTGGGTACACACCACCATGTTGGGTACACACCACCATGTTGGGTACACACCACCATGTTGGGTACACACCACCATGTTGGGTACACACCACCATGTTGGGTACACACCACCATGTTGGGTACACACCACCATGTTGGGTGCACAGCACAAGGATGGGTACATAGCACCAGGATAGGTACACACCACCGGGGTAGGTACATACCACCGGGATGGGTGCATACCACCAGGATGGGTACATACCACCTGGATGGGTATACACCACCACGATGGGTATACACCACCACGATGGGTATACACCACCACGATGGGTATACACCACCACGATGGGTATCCACCACCACGATGGGTATCCACCACCACGATGGGCACACCACCACGATGGGCACACTATACCAGGATGGGTGGTATAAACCTTGGTAATAAATACCGACAAGTTGGTTTAGAAAGACACGTAAGCAAACACTATGACATATTTATTAGAAAACGTTTCGGTCCTGGGACCTTGATCACTTCTAACATACAGAGGTAGAAAGGCATTATATATATAGGCGGAGAGTGAGGTGTGACGCACGTGACCTGAGGAATGTCATAAGAACATAAGAATGGAGGAACACTGTATAAGGAATACTGGCCCATGCGAGGTAGGTCCTTATCAAAACAACCTCTGCCTATGATGAGGACGGGTAGACGATGAAATCATGTGACTCCTGTGTTGTTGGGTTGGTGGTGCTTAAGTATCATGTATGCCAATGTTTTTGAAATTTTGTAGTTTCCAGTGTTGCGTTCTATAGTGTCGGTGACGGCGATTAGTGAGGCTTCTAGGCACCGTCCGCGTCTGAAGTCTGGTTCGGTGAGAACGAGTTGTGCCTCATTCCAGTTCATCAAATGTCCCGTGGAGTCTCTGTGGAGGACACAGGCGTACCTTACATCGTCTCTGTTAGAGGCATTTCGATGCTCATTCAAGCGGACTGCAAGATCTCTGCCTGTCTCGCCTACATATTTCTTGGGACAGAACCCACAGGGGATAGTGTAGACGCCTGCTGTAGAAGTTAGAGGTGTGGGGCTGCGTTTCGTAGTGAGGTCTTTGATAGATGATGTGTTTATGGTGGAAACGTTGATGTTACTCATAGCAAGTGCCCGGCGAGTATTCGTGGCAACATCACCAATGGGAGTACTATGAACTGCTTAGGGGGCTGTTCCATGGGCGGTTTGTTGAGAATTGGCTTCTTCTTGAGAGCTCTTCGCATCTCCAGCCCTTGTTTTCTAGAAGAATGCACTTACATAACACAAGCCTTTACACGTCTTCAGTTCCCATCTTTCTTCATCCGAGATTGCAGACTTAAGGCACAAGCTATTCTCAACAAACCGCCCATGGAACAGCCCCCTAAGCAGTTCATAGTACTCCCATGTGGTGATGTTGCCACGAATACTCGCCGGGCACTTGCTATGAGTAACATCAACGTTTCCACCATAAACCCATCATCTATCAAAGACCTCACTACGAAACGCAGCCCCACACCTCTAACTTCTACAGCAGGCGTCTACACTATCCCCTGTGGGTTCTGTCCCAAGAAATATGTAGGCGAGACAGGCAGAGATCTTGCAGTCCGCCTGAATGAGCATCGAAATGCCTCTAACAGAGACGATGTAAGGTACGCCTGTGTCCTCCACAGAGACTCCACGGGACATTTGATGAACTGGAATGAGGCACAACTCGTTCTCACCGAACCAGACTTCAGACGCGGACGGTGCCTAGAAGCCTCACTAATCGCCATCACCGACACTACAGAACGCAACACTGGAAACTACAAAATTTCAAAAACATTGGCATACATGATACTTAAGCACCACTAACCCAACAACACAGGAGTCACATGATTTCATCGTCTACCCGTCCTCATCATAGGCAGAGGTTGTTTTGATAAGGACCTGCCTCGCATGGGCCAGTATTCCTTATACAGTGTTCCTCCATTCTTATGTTCTTATGACATTCCTCAGGTCACGTGCGTCACACCTCACTCTCCGCCTATATATATATAATGCCTTTCTACCTCTGTATATTAGAAGTGATCAAGGTCCCAGGACCGAAACGTTTTCAAATAAATATGTCATAGTGTTTGCTTACGTGTCTTTCTAAACCAGGATGGGTACACACCATCAGGATAGGTATACACCATCAGGATAGGTATACACCATCAAGATACGTATACACCATCAGGATAGGTATACACCATCAGGATGGGTATACACCATCAGGATGGGTACACATCAGGATGGGTACACACCACCAGGATGGGTACACACCACCAGGATGGGTACACACCACCAGGATGGGTACACACCACCAGGATGGGTACACTAGACCAGGATGGGTACACTAGACCAGGATGGGTACACTAGACCAGGATGGGTACACTAGACCAGGATGGGTACACTAGACCAGGATGGGTACACTAGACCAGGATGGGTACACTAGACCAGGATGGGTACACTGTACCAGGATGAGTAAACACCACTAGGATAGGTACACATCACTAGAATGGGTACACACCACTAGGATGGGTACGCACCACCAGGATGAGTACACACTAGGGATGCATCGGATGTGAAAATTTAGATATCTGCGGATGCGGATGTGTATGGGGATGTCTTACTTATTTTGCGGATGCTGATGCATATGCGGATATCTGCTTACAGTATAATGCAGGTGCGGATGCGGATTTTGCAGGATATTAGGGAAGTCGGTCAAATACTAAGAAAAAGAACTGGTGTCATGTGTCAGTCCAGACTGGTGTCAAGTAAGTGTCAGTCCAGACTGGTGTCAAGTGAGTGTCAGTCCAGACTTGTATCAAGTGAGTGTCAGTCCAGACTGGTGTCAAGTGAGTGTCAGCCCAGACTGGTGTCAAGCGAGTGTCAGCCCAGACTGGTGTCAAGCGAGTGTCAGCCCAGACTGGTGTCAAGCGAGTGTCAGCCCAGACTGGTGTCAAGTGAGTGTCAGCCCAGACTGGTGTCAAGCGAGTGTCAGTCCAGACGAGTGTCAAGTGAATGTCAGTGCAAAGCAGTGTCAGGTGAATGTCAGTCCAACTAGATGTCAAGTGATTCTAAGTTCAGAAACAATCAGGTACATGTTGCAGGTGGCTGCAGTTGCTTGGGACCCACTAATTGTGGCGGCGGAGCCGTGCAAAGTGACGGGAGAGGGGTGGCGTGCCTTGGCGTCGGGGCTCGTTCTCGCGGCCAAAGTTGTGGAGAGGATGGTCAACCAAAACATCTACGACGACGTCTCTCAAGGTAGGTGCAGAGGTCATCCTCCACGAAGTCTTAATAGGTAGCACTAATTTTATCTATGACAACGTCTCATGTGGTAGGTACCAAGGCCATACTCCACAACATCTTACTAAATAGTTCCAAATTCATCTACCACGACGTGCCACAAGGTAGGTGATATCATCTACCAAAACTTTTCATGAGACAGGCGCTGAAGTCATCTACTATGAAGCTTTCTAGGTATGTGTTAAAATGATCTGTCAATACATTTACAAGGTAGGTGTCAGGGGCATTTATCACGACGTGTCATTAGGTAATCTGTTATGAAATTTTACCAAGTTGGTATCAAGATTATCTACATGTCACAACGTACGTACCAAGGTCATGTCACAACGTACGTACCAAGGTCATATCACACATCTTACAAGGTATGTGTCGAATTTATTTGCCAAAACATCTCACAAGATAGATGTGAAAGTAGTGTAACATCCTACAGGTTACAGGTAGATGTCAAAGGCGTCTAACACGAAGCCTCACGATGCACATATCAAGATCATTTACCACGACGCTTCAATTGGTGGATGTCAATGGCTACGTGTTTTCTAACCTAGAGCCAAGGTCTTTACCTACGACTAATCACAAAGTGCTAAGGTTCTTCTACCACACCTCACAAGATAGGTGCTAAATTTGGTCATATACCAAAAAGTGTTGCAAAATAGATGAGCTGACATGTTTAAAATGGTGAATTGGTACGAGTCTCAATAGTGGTTAACCCCATGTCCAGTGAAGACGTTTTTAGTGCATTCTCAGAGTCCTATTTAAGTGTAGAGTTTAGAACGCCTGTACCTACAGGCGAGGGCACAGCTACAAGAAGCTTGGAAGGAGACACAAATTTTGGAGAGAAGGAAAAGAATCATCCCCAAAACAAGGAAGGGGAAGCAAGATACGAGCCAGAACAGATGGAAACTGGTGGTTAAGAAGAGATTAAAGCTGAAAAAGGAGAATGTCGTAGAAACAGCTGTTGCGACAACCAATTCTCTTGTTGTTCTGCCAGACTGTAGTTCAGGCATGAATGATACAAAGAGAACCAATACTGAAAGTAATAATGTTATAGTAGTAGGCGACTCCTAGATTAAATACATGGATGGTGCTTTCTGAACAAAGATAGGAAGAGGAGGCAGAGTGTGTGTTTTCCTGGAGCAGGAATAAAGGATATAGTTATTAGATTTGGAAATATCACGACTCGCGCTGTAGGCAATGTTATCAGGAAGCAGACGAGTGAAAACGTTCTTGCCAGGTATAGGACAACAATAGACATTATTAGGAAAAAGAGAGGGATCCTTGTTTTACGTAGCTCTCTACTCTACAGAAGAACTGACACTGAGTGGCTCTCAAAAATTGCGGCACTATACTATGAAATGGATCTCTTCATTCACAAAAACTGATAATAATCCAGAGATCTGATGCATGTATCTAGAGCAGGAATAGCAGCAGTATCTGCTTCAATCAAGAGTGCTTCTAAATGAAATAAACGTTTAAGTAAACTGGACAAGCATGTTTGTATGTGGAATAAGAAGGGACTGTTGCACTTCGAATTTAGTATATAAAGTTAATAAGAGTAAAGTACAATTATGATAATAATGATAAAGGAAATAGTGAAGAAAGTAAAAATGGACAGGAAGAAGATTCAGGAAAAAAATTCTTATCACATATTATAAAAACAGTCATAGCAATACATACAAAATAAATGAGAAGATATTGCATGCACATGCAGGAAACTCCGAAGAGTCAGGATGTGCATTTCCAGTGTCATATTCAGAACTTCAAGTTATTGCACACTGATGCAAATAACGAGACGTGGCTGAAGTGGACTATACATCCGATAAAGCTAGAAATACTGTATTAAAACATACATATGCTCAGTGGTCACTTCATTAGGTACACCATACTAGTACTGGGTAGAGTCCTGCATTGCTCTCAGAACAGTCTGAATTCTTTGTGTCATGTATTCAACAAGGTAGTGGAAATTATCTTAGAGATTCAAATCCATGTTGACATAGCATCACGTAGTTGCTGCAGATTCTTTTGATGCACGTTCATGCTTTGAATATCCTGTACCACGACAAGCCCAAAGTTTACATCAAATGCTGACCCTACCAGCTGAATGTCCCAGCAGAAATTGCGATTTGTTAAACTAGGTGATATTTTTTTTCCAATCTTCAATTGCCCAGTTTTGACGAGCCTGTGCCCTCTATAGTCTAAGTTTCCTGTTTTTTTTTATTTAGCAGAAGTGGAGCCCAATGCGGTCTTCTGCAGCTGTATCCCATCCTCTTCAAGCTTCAATGCATTGTGTGTTCATAGTTGTTCTACTCTATGCCACTGTTGTAATGTGTGGCTATTTGGGTTTCAGTCGCTTCCCTGTCAGTATGAACCAGTCTGGCCATTCTCCTCTGACCTCTCTCAATAACAAAGCTTTTAACTCAGAGAACTGCTGGTCACTGAACGTTTTGTGCTTTTCACACCATTCTCTGTAAACTACAGAAATCCGTGCCTGAAAATCAGAAGAGATCAGCAGTTTCTGAGATTCTCAAACCACGAATTCTAGCACCGACGTTCAATGTCGTATAAAACTGCAGAAAGATATAAAGCAGGATTTTCTAGTGGGCAGTGATGAATAACATGGCGTTCAGTGGTAAGAAGCTCCAGCTGCTTAAATATGGAAAAAATGCAGAACTCAAAAGGAATACTGTACACAAAACTAAAGAGAATCGTCAAATGGAATGCAAGGGACACGTGAAAGACCTGAAAATAATAATGTCAGATGTCTTAAATATGTATTCACTGGTGTTGTCCGAAATCTGCACACTGTCATTACAAACTGGGCTTGACATGCATGGTGTACAGTGTCTTTAACAATTTCTTACTGAGGTATCTGAACGCTATTCTCAGGTTTGCCAGGCGCCCAAACAATTATCTGGTTGATGTGTGCTTCCGGTGACGTGCTCGGTGCTATGGTCACCCCAAGATCTTTCCCCATGAGTGAGGTTTGCAGTCTTTGACCACCTAGCCTATGCTCTGTCTGCGGTCTTCTTTGCCCTTCCCCAATCTTCATGACTCTGCATTTGGCGGGGCTAAATTCGAGTAGTCAGTTGGTGAACTACGTGTCCAGCCTGTCCAGGTTTCTTTGTAGTCTTGCCTGATCCTCATCTGATTTAATCCTCCTCATTAACTTCACATCATCTGCAAACAGGGACACTTCAGAGTTTATCCCTTCCATCATGGCATTCTCATATACCAGGAAAAGCACTGTTCCTTGGGCTAACACCTGTGGGACCCCACACGTCACAGATGCCCAGTGTGATACCTCATCACGTACCATGACTCGTTGTTGCCTCCCTGTCAGGTATTCTCTGATCCATTGCAGTGCCCTTCCTGTTATACGTGCCTGATCCTCTATTTTCTGTGCTAATCTCTTGTGAGGAAATGTGTCGAAGGCCTTCTTGCAATCCAAGAAAATGCAATCAACCCACCCCACTCTCTCATGTCTTACTTCTGTTACCTAGTCATAAAACTCCAGAAGGTTTGTGACACAGGATTTGCTTTCCATGAATCCGTGCTGGTTGTCGTTGATAACCTTGTTCCATTCTAGGTGCTCTACCACTCTCCTCCTGATAATCTTCTCCATGGCTTTGCATACTATACACGTCAATGACACTGGTCTATAGTGTAGCGCCTCATTTCTGTCTCCTTTCTTAAAATGGGGATTACATTTGCCGTCTTCCATACCTCGGGTAGTTGCCCAGTTTCAAGGGATGTGTTGAAAATTGTGGTTATTAGCACACACAGTATATCTGTTCCCTCTCTAAGGACCCACGGAGAGATGTCCGGTCCTACCGCCTTTGAGGTATCAATGTCACTTAGTAGATTCTTCACCTCCTCCTAAGTTGTGTGTATTTCATCCACCATTTGTTGGTATATTCCTTGTTGGCGTCCCCCTCTGTTCTGTCTTCCCAGAATCCTTCCTGTCTCCACTGTAAATACATCCTTAAATCTCATGTTGAGCTCCTCACACACCTCTTCATTGTTTCTTGTGAGCTCCCCACCTCCTTTCCTCAGCCTGATTACCTGGTCTTTGACTGTTGTCTTCCTCCTAATGTGGTTATGCAGCAGTTTCAGGTCAGACTTGACTTTTGATGCTGTTGTTTTCGTTCTGTCTCTGGGCCTCTCTTCTTATCTGTGCTTACTCGTTTCTGGCTCTTCGACTAACCTCCTTACTTTCCTTGGTCCTTTGCGTTCTGTACTTTTTCCATTCTCTAGTGTACTTAGTTTTTGCCTCCCTACACCTTTGGGTAACCAAGGGCTCGTTCTGGTCTTCCTATTATTGCTGTTGCCTTTGGGAACAAACCTTCCCTCTGCCTCCTTGCATTTTGTTGTTGCATATTCCATCATTTTGTTTACTGACTTTCCTACCAATTCTCAGTCCCACTGAACTTCCTGCATGAAGTTCATGTTTGTGTAGTCCCCCCTTTTACAGTTTGGCCTTTCCCAATCAACTCCTGTTACCCTCTCCACTTGTAACTCTCTGTTTTCCAAGCTCAGAACCACGTGATCACTAGCTCCCAAGTGCCTCTCATATGTTATGTCCTCAATGTCCGAGCTGCTCAGGGTGAAAATGAGGCCCAGTCTTTCTGGTTCATCCTCCTCTCTCTCTGATAGTGTCAATAACATGTTGGTGCATGAAGTTTCCCAGTACCACATCCATCAACTTGGCTCTCCATGTTTTGGGACCCCTATGCGGCTCCAGGTTTTCCCAATCGATCTCCCTATGGTTGAAATCGCCCATAACCATTCATTTTACTCTGCTCGAGTGAGCTCTTCTTGCCACCTTAGCTAGTGTGTCCACCATCACTCTGTTGCTCTCTTCATATTCCTCTCTTGGCCTCACTGCAATGACTACCTTATGGTCCCCTGACTGAACTGTACCTACTATGTAATCCCTTTCTCCATTCTCGTCCATTCCTTCC